TTCCATGATCTTTTGGCGTAGCCTGATCCCCACATGCGGTCTTCGCATTGCCGAGTAGTAGAGAAAAATTGAGTATTTCTGAATGAATTCAAGCGTGACGTCATCCATGTTTTGAAGTTGATTGGGTGGCTGTGGTCCTTACAGCTGTGCTAGTATCCAGCGATACCGCTTTGAAGTCCCACCAATAACACACTGAAATCTTTATCCCATGCACATCTGCTTTTGGCTAAGCCTACTTTTCTCCTTGAGAGATCCTGCGAGGGACATGTGCATGATGTACGCAAGGACTCCACCACTCGCTTCCAATCACGAGATCCCACGTAAGTTCTAAAAGAAAACTCAGTCACGGTCATTCGGTATGACTTGTCAGACGGGTCCAACTCATGAGGCATCCTTCACAAAAAATTTTCCGATAACCGAGATTGCGGAGAAGCATGGCAGTTGTCAGTCAGGTGGAGCCTAGAGAGGTTGCCAACTTACTGGTGGTTACGTTCGGCTGCGCCTCAAGAAGCTTGAGTAAAGGGCCGTCATTCTGTGCTGGTGGCCGACCTATACATTGCCTACCTCCGAGTTGAATAAGTCCAGCTTGGAGCGCTGATGCAAAAGCTACATCGTGCCGTGGCAAGCGATATCCGACACGATATCGTTCCCCTGCAGAGGAGGGTGGCAGACAAGAGCGTTTTTATATTGTTGACTACACTATACTGCGGTTGATTTGAAGCATAAACGTCTGCCAATGATCCTAGGGAGGTAATGCATTCCAGTGCTCTTCTCCATTCCAGCTGCGTTTAAAACGTTGTAGTTGTGCTTATGTTTTTTGCTGGAATTCGTTTACCATTGCGGCTTGTGAAGAATTGCAGTATGAATCTAGATCTAACAGAGATTTGTTGTTGTTCTCCTGAACTCAACAGTTCTTTCCCTCGAGAGCTCTCTAAAACTGAGCGAGTCAAAAGTGTCTCCAAACCACATGTCAAACGGAATTTTCGCGCGCCAGACATCTAACAAACAGCTCTTATAACAGCGGTTTGTGTGCACAGAATACCGAAGATAAGTTGGTTGTAGATATCTTCCTGCGCTGAAATTCAATGCTGAGTGGCAGAACTTAAATGGTGCACTCGATGGATGTAGTTCCTAAAAACACAAGATGCAGTTGGTGTGCTCAAGTTTCCGGAGTGCACCTCAGGTTTCATGTGTTTCCTAATCGAAGCAGAAGCAGATCTCGAAAATATTAACTGCACAAAAGCGATAATTCGCGATAAAAATTGTTGAAGTATCCTAATTCAAGTAATAGAGGCGGAGGTGGTGTAGTGACAAGTGGCGCGCTTACCACTCACACGGCGCCGGGTTCGAATCCCGGGTCGACACCCGCCCAGGCCAACCAAGCCTTCTACCCCCCCCCCGGGACGGTAAATTGGTACCAGATTTGTCTGGGAGGATAAAACACTGACTTGTACATCGGCTGGCCACCGCAAGTCATTGTATAGGCCACATCGCATTCAATAAGCCACTACGATTCTGAATGGAAAGTAGAACTGCGTGCGCATCCCACCAATAGGGATTGTTCACGGTGAAGACCTTATCCTTTTATCCTTAATTCAAACATAAGTAAGGAGACGTGTGGTACCTACGAAGAAGACAGGTACGATTTGGCGTCGAAAACTCGCCCGCATTTTTTCCGGTGTAGGGTTAGGCGACAGTTGGGTTGTGGACGGCTCTCCAAGTCCCGCTGAAAATTGCATGTAAGATGTGCGCAGTTGCGAGTCATCAGTTAACAACCCGTTCAGAGGCGCCGAGATACCTTCGTCTTGTGTCCCCATGCGCCTTAAGCCAAGGTGGCCTGCACGTTTGAATCCACCTGACCCTTAGACTGTGCAAGGTAGCTGGCGCGGGACTGCAGCCGATTACGCCCAGTCTGCGTTGTGGAGAAGTGCGTGACGAGGCCGCAGGGACGTTGGACCAAGAATGTCAGCTGAGGCGACGGAGTTTCGGCTTCTGGCGGATATACACTCAGGGGAAGTGACTTTCGCGGACTTTCGACGACTGACGATGAAGACTGTCCTAGAAGACTGCTGTCGCTGCGAATTTGGGCCTGCGGTGCAGCGTTCCCGAGATTGTCGATTGACGGTCCGGCGGCGCCGCGGTACTGGCCCAGTGGCGGAACCCTGGGCAGTGTCGCTTCAAACAGCTGTGATGGTAACACGTTTTGTTCCAATGGTCAGCGGCGACGCGCTGTAGGGGCAGTTGGAAGCACGATTTCGCGCGAAGGTCGGACAACTGGGCACAGTCGTGAAATGAGGCAGGGAGAAGATGGGGTGAGAGGAGAAAGAAGGGTCCTGCAACTGGGCTGAGCTGCAGTGAGGTGAGCGGGCGGGTTCAAGTCGGGACCTCATTATCCTCGGATGCTAGAGCACTCCAGAGAAAGTCTTCATGAAGTATCTTGGTCGACGAGCATCTGCCCATAGCTTCCTGTCAATTACTCTGTTGCCTTACAAAAGGACGATCCCCAGTCGCACCACCGACTGGCGCCGACGCTCCACCTTTTGTGGCCTGGCTTCGCAGAACGAGAGCGGCATTCCTTCTTTCGTTGTGATGCAATATACGGGGCTGGTATGTACTGTCCTCATCATTACGAACTGTCGGGGCGTGTCAGGTCCCCGTAGGAGCGCTCACACTATTGAGCCGTTCTCACTTTTTGTGAAACGCGTGTTTGGGAAAAAGTGTAGGAAACGAGTAAATACAAAATAATAGTAACATGTAATGTCACTTGTCCGCTTCAACAATTGGTGCAGAACGACTTCGGTACCGCGCCAAACGCAGCCGCACTGACACGCCCGACAGCCGTAATGATGAGGACTGTATAACTCGCTCTCACACTCAATCACGGCTTTCTTTCGCACACCCCTATGCGTGGCATGCAATGCTGAAGGTAAGATACTGATGCCCCAGACAAGGGCGTTGATCAAAAGAACAGGAAGAGATAATATACCATGGGTTGAACATTTATTCCAGCACAACAGTGGAAGTGGTGCCAAGCAAAGCCTCACAGAATGAGAAGCGTCGGCGAGAGCAAGCGAGGTCAGGACAGGACGCGTCCTGATTTTGGGAAGAATCTTTCGAAACAATGCCAAATCCAAGTTCGGGTCTCGTCCAGGAAACATTCCTTGTTTTGTTTTCTGGTTTTGTCCTCTACTGGATTAATGAGTTTAACAAATGAATTGGTACTAGATTTGCTAGGGAGAAGAAGGCTGCTCGTACTAGCTCGCGCCCGCAGTTCATTTTATAGGCCACATTGCATCTCATGAACCCCGTGACGATTCTTAATGGAAATAGAATGAGTGCCGTATCCAAACAGGGTTGATCAACGGCGGAGGCTTGACCCTTAACTTTTTAGCAAATTCGATGCTTCATTACGACCTTTTCACATCATGCCCACTACTTTTTAGAATTTTCGAAAATCTGCCCTTCGGGGGAAGGGGAATGAACACTTCTGACCAATTATCGGAAATGTTGTAGTAGTGCTGAGCGCTGCCAACTAGCACTCTACCTAGAGAGTTTGCAACAGGGAAAAAAAAATGCATGACCTAGAAGCCATTCTGAAGACAGATGAAAAATTTCTCCAGCAACAAAATCGCCGCCTTCTGTAGGCGAGGAGGTCTTCTAGGCACTATTCAACTATTACTACCCAGTTTTGCGAAAACAGGGCGGATCATGATTTTCTACGGGGGCGGATTTGGCTGGAATTTGGGTTTTCAAGGTGGTAATATTTCGACCACCTGAACACGAATATCATATCCACTTGGCCTGAAAGTGACTGACGTTCGCGCCACAGAAGCCAGTGATTTGGTGCATTTTGGCGCTAGCGCCCGTGGCGCGGGCGCCGTAACGTGTTGTGGTTATTTCGTGTTTAGGATCGAGACTCCTGAGTAGAAGTTTCTGTGATTTGGTTGTACTCTAGGGTACTTGTGGCGCCGGCGGCCTGTGGCATGTTTGGAGCGCGGCCGTGATTTCCTGTCAGGAGGTCGAAATTACCGGCCCTTCCAAAGCGCAACTTTCAGCTCCTAAACTGTTCTTGCCCCTGTAGAAAAAAGTCGATCAATATCCGGGCCGTTTTCGGAAAATTGGGGTAGTAATAGTTGAATAGTGCCATCTTCTAAAATCCCAGCCCTACCGGTCATAAATAAATGAACAACTCGAGACAAGCTCTAGCCCTCCTAGCGACTAATGGGAACCATGAGTGTTATGGATTCTGAAGTCCGTAGCGCTATACTACTACTACTTATCCCGTAAGCTTGCGCTGGTGGGGCCGGCTCTACCAGTCCACTGCTGTGGGTGCCTTCGGAGTAGCGAAGCGCCCAGGAGGGGGGGGGGGGGGGAGGTGGGGGGGGGGGGGGGTGGGGGCGCTGAATGAAGTGTCTCCATTCTGGTCGATATCAGCAATACGCTAGGCATGCTCAACACTGCACCAGAGCCCTAAGGGCGCCAGGGCGTTTTCTCCACAGGAGCATATTAGGTATTCTGTCGTGACCCATCCTGCACAGATGACCGAACCATCGTAGCCGTCGCAGTTTCAATTGTTCCTCGATTGTGGGTTGATCTTCAAACTTCTCCCTGATGGCGTTGTTCGTGACATGGTCACGAAGCCTGATCCCGAGCATATGGCGGAGACAACGCATTTGAAACACCTCGAGATGAGAGAGATCCGACTTGAGCAACGTCCATGTCTCAGACCCATATAGTAGCACCGGGAGCACCAGCGTCCGGAACATGCGAATTTTGGTTTTCAGTGATATGTTACTCTTCTTCCAGAGACACCACTTTAACGCTGCAAATGTCTTAGACGCGTGACCAATCCTGCTGCGGACCTCAGCCTCGGCAGCCACTTTCCTTTCTTGAACGACCGATCCAAGGTACTTGAAATTACTCACTTGCTCCAAGGCGACGCTACCCAGTCGCACGGACGCGGGCGATCCATCCGAGGTCATCACCTTGGTCTTTTCCGCGTTTATTTTGAGGCCATACGACTGGGCAATCTCTGACAGTGAGCACATGATGTTAGTCGCTTCCTCGTCAGTTTCGGCAAAAATTGCGCTGTCAATGAAGTCGCTGAGCCTACTACATGTAGTGAATAAAGCCTATGGAATGGTCTTCTAAATGCTAGGAAGTCCGGGTTTACTGGGCTTGTGCTTACTTTAGAGCCTTTTCGAGCGTGAAACTTCTCTACTTGATGCGTGTTGTAGTCGACATTATCATCAATTTAAGCGGCAGCTTGCTGGAGTATAACAATAATGGAGGCCTTTCTTAAATAGTTCGACCAAAACGAGAAAGTGAATGATTTCGGAATGGGCTGCTTTCATTGTTGCGTGCACTCTCGTTGCGCTTTACATCGGCTACAGGGACGGGGATCGGGGACAGGTTGTTGGTTCGTTCCCATTATGTGAAGTGTCTGAAGAGATTACATGATTGATACGGGGAACAGGGCCCCGTGAACAAGGGAATTCCCACTCGGCCAATTCGTCAACTTATTTTTCATTACACATAAGTTACTTAGACGGTGGGATACTTGTCATTAATCAAGGTGTAAACGCTGAAACTATGGCCATCAGAGGTATTGTAAACATGTTTGTCCAGCCATATGTACTCCTTCGCTGTTCCTTGTTGTCATTCTTGTCACCAAGGAATGCAAACGTCATCGGCTTGGCATCCACGCTTAAAACGGGTGAATACGATGGGTAACGACTTTCGAAAGGTAATGGAAAAAAATCTGGACACGAGGCTTTCCACTAATGTACTACCCGCCAATCTTCTGAGAGGCGACAATTGCCGACTCTTTTCTAGAAGGGCAGATTCCGCTGAAAACTCGGTTCAAGGGCTAGCTCGACCTCCTGGACGCGAGTATCACATCCGTTGCCCGGAGTGCTGGCGTCTGCGTCGGGCTAGGTACCGCGCAAAGATTACCTTAGATGCCATCAACCTCCGCTGAAAAACTTGTATTAACGCAGGTCACTTTACATCTGATTACGAAATATGGTCTGTTCTTGGGCGCTGGCGCTAAGAACATACAATCTCTGCCTCTTCGCTAAGGCTGGGCGTGGCACTCCCTCCTCCAAGCTCAGCCTTAGCAGAGCGCCAAATGGCGCTCGTGTTGAAGAATGAATGCCATATTCGTGAATAGTGCATCAAACAACCATAGGTCTTTAAACTGCTTCGGTTAAAACAAGGCTGCGGCGCAAAACGGCGCTCCATGGCGTCATATGGCACGGGGCTGCAATGAATGTCGTGTTCGTTATCAGCTACGCGAGTAACGCTCATATGCAACGTTTACAACGCGATTTGGTGTGGAAAAGCGTGGTTGGCCAAATTGGTGGCCTAGGTGCCAGAGTCAAAAATCAATGTCATACTTGTGATAAGAACATCGAATTGCCTATACTTCACTACTTCGCAAAACTTCACCACTAAACTTTTTTGGATTTTTGGAGTCGTAATAGTTGAATAGTGCTAGATCTTCATTAAAGACAGCCCCCGCGCTCGAGTGGTACATAGTCGACCTTCCTTGTGCAAGTAGTACAGCCCCCAACCTAGAGACTGCCCCAATCTCGCAACTCCACAGAGAACGAGGAGCGAGCTACAGCTGCTGAAAGTTCTATTCTAACGCCCGCAGTTGGACCGCCCGACTTGTTAGATGCCCCCCGTCACTGAAATCTTTGTAAAATTTTTTCCAATTCAGTAATTACATAATATGATAACGATCGTAATAATTTTAAATAATTTTATATGAAAAACTTCCTTCTTTCTTTTAAACATGATCATATGTTCCTTTCCTTTCATTTTGAAACATGGAAACATTTCTCTTTCACATAATATAACTTTGACATCACTCATAAAATAACTATGATAATACGCACTAGTATAACAAATAGATCTAGTTACGGTCTTGCAAAGTCATCAATTGTCGTGTATTATCATCATAATAATTATTACCATATAAACTCATTGTTCCTTCTTTCCCTTACTGACGAGCACAGAAGAAGGATATACAACTCGTTTGGTTTCCGTCTAAGGGCACGTGCGAAACGGAAACCAAACTATCTCCTTATGTTGACCCCGTGTAATAATGATTAATAACCAAGCTTATAGTTAACCAAATGTTTTATAGAATAAATCTAAATGCTACCATAACTTACTGTAATATATTAGATACTGCTCTTGACGGGAACTGCGCTAGTTTTTCCTTGACTTTGGTGGGCGGGCGTCAATCGGAATTGCATGCCCTTTTTGCTGACCGCGCTTGTGCCCATGAATGGTTTTGCTCTCCTTTATCACATTTTATTCATTGGGAGCACAACTCATATCCATTCTGTGCAAGGTAAATACCGTAAAAATACTGAGCGATTGGCCAATTTTCGTGGTGCAAAAGCTGACGCACCACACTACACTAAAAGATGCACGCTACCGTAACCCTAAATTCAGACGCCTAGTTTTTGGAAGTTTCTTTTCCTTTTCAAGAGTTTTTCTTCCGTGTTTTTGTTGTTTTTTCTTTTCGTTTTCTTTTTGCACTGGATGATATCAACTACTGCGAGATGTGATAGAGAGATTTGTGAGCTAGGGGTTGCACAGAGACCGCAGGGAGGTGTGACTGTGAGGGAGCGATTTTGTTTATGTGTTCTTGAGGACTCTTTGCTTTTTTTCTTCTTTGGGGAATTACTTATCAGCTACTGTTTCATAATTGAAAAGCAATTATCCATGACATTTTTATCGCGGGAGCTGTCTTTAAGCAAGAAAATGCAGGAACGTTGACCTCCTGCCATTACT